ATATATATATATATATATATATACAAGTAGATGCATCTACTTACTTTGTTTCGTCGCATTATTTATTGCTGTTTTCCCCCTTTTCAGGTATCTGATCGTCAACTCAGCAGCGTTGAGTTCAGCAGTGCTGTTAACAGCAACAAGAACGATGGTGCCGGACTTTGGGCAGCCTTACCGCCCCTATCTTCTGCTAGCTGCATTGCCAGGGGTTATTCAGTTTTGTCTTTGTTTATTTTTTCGCGATTCTGCTTCTTTGGAGCCTCCGCAGAGCCTCAGCGTTCTGCGTCGATGTCCGCCTCTAACAGTAATTGAATTTCGTATCTTTTCTTATCTTTTCTTCTTTTCTTCATTTGCACTTATTTCTTTTGCTGCACCTTCTCCCTCTTTGAAAGACCCTCAAGCAAGTCTGTCAGTCGCCCCGCCTTTGGCGTTTTCTTGCGATTTCTACTCTCGTATGGGCAGGTGAACATACACCTGAATTTATATACATACTATATATAATATATATAAAATATATGATATATATGATATAGAATATGTATAGATATATGTATATTATATGTAATATATAAAATATATAGTAAAATACATTTAATATATATAATATTAAAGAATATATATAATAATACAGATATGTTATATATAATACATCTATAATTATATATTTGCTTCATCTACTTCTGCTGCTTTTATTTTCAGGCGTCGGCAGCATCTTAAGGTATGAATATCAGCAATCTTTTTTTTATTTACTAGAGACAATCGCACTGATGCATGCATGCAGACACTTTGGGAGTACATTTCCGAAGAGCTTCACTCGCTGCAAGTTGATTTGCAATTGTTTATTGATTTTCTTTTTCTTTTTACTTTTCTTCTTGCCCTCGTTGCTTCGGGTGTATACGCAGCTACTTCCTCTCAAGCCCCCTTTGAACTCGTCTTAGCTGCCAACCCGCTCGTCATTACTTCTTTTCTTCCTTTTGCTTCGCCTGCTATACACGCACACAACTGCGATACTTACACCCTCCTCACCATTGTAAGCTCCTAATGCTGCTGCTGCTGCTGCTGCTGCTCGTGCCGCTGCTCCTGCTACTGTTGCTGCCACTGCTCACGTTGCAGCTGATGTTGCTGCTGCTACTGCTGCTAGTCCTGCTGGTGCTTCTGCTGCCGCTGCTTTTGCTGCTGCTGCTGTTGCTGCTGTTGCTGCTGTTGCTTTTGTTGATTTTTTGCAGGGTTATAAATGATACTGCGTGCAGACGCAATAATAAAAAGATTCAATAATATATTAATGTAATATGTTATTATAATCAGTATATTATATATATATCATTGTATTTGAATTTAATATATATTTATTTATGGATGTCTTCAGGGAAGTCTTATCTCTGCGTCGTCGATGTTTGTACTGGTGAGTAAACAACTGTTTAATTTATTTGGTTTAATTAATTTCGCTTCCTAAATTTAATTTATATTACTATTTAATCGATTTAATTAATGCTTTACATATTTAATTTATGCAAATAATCTTTTTGATTAATTCAATATATTTACTGAATTTCCTCATTTACTTTATTCTTTTACTTCCTTTGATTTATTTGTACAATTAATATACTTAATATAAGTAGTTTAGTTTATTTATTTAATTAATTAATTTAATTAATTATTCAATTAATTTAATTAATTTATTTATTAGGGTTTATTTCCTTCTCTCGCTGGCGCTGTTTGCGGCGTTGCAATTTTTACGCTCGGCGAAATAATTTGGGCGCCGCGTTTAATCGAATTGTCTGTGATGGTAAGCATTCATCTTTTAATTATATTTATATTTATTTATATTTATATTTACTTATATTTATATTTATTTATACTTGTGTTTATACTTGTATTTATTTTGTTTTTACTTAATTGTATTTATCTTCGTTGTATTTGTGTTTCTTTTTCGTTTATTTGTATTTCTTTTTCTCTAGTTTTATTTACGTTCCCTTGTTTTTCTTTGATTAATATTTCTTTTCTTTCTTTTTCTTCGATTTATATCTCTCTTTTCTTTCTGATCTGTCTTTGATCTGTACAACTGTTTGTTTGTATATATATTTGTTTCTTATATTTGTACTTGCTTGTTTATATTTGTTTTTGTGTTTATTTGTATTTGTTTGCCTATTTTAAAACAAAAATATATTATATATATTTTTGTTTATATTTATATTTATCTTCAATTAATTTTTAATCTCTTCTCCGTTTGTTTCAGGTCGGCGAGGAGGGCAGCGAAGGCACAGGTAAATAAATATTATTTACTATAATTTAGATTAAACAAATAATAACAATTAAATAAACTATTATTATTTAAATTAAACAAACAAAACTGTATTCAAATGTTTGAAGTGATGGCGCTCTCTGCAATTCCCCGATACACCGCGCGGCTGATGGCTGGCGCTTCCTCGGGTTATTTGCTACGAAAGTTTTGTAAGTTTTTGTAATAAAACATCAATAAAAAATTAATTTTTTTGATTTTAATTCTTTATTTATTATTATTATTGTTATTTATTTATTCTTTTGTCCGTTTTTTCTTCTTTCTGCAGGTAGCGACGCTGGGCACTGTACAGACGGCGGAGCGGTGTGGCGGTGGATAGGGGGGTTTGCATGTAAGACTTCTCGCTGAAATTCGAGAAAACAAAATAAAATAAAATCAACAACAATTGTTTTATTCATAAATTAATAACGAAATTAATTGATTTCCGCTTATAAAACTCTCTATTTTGCTATCCCGTTTCACTTTCTGCTGTCTGCAGTGCTGACGCCTCTCGCCCTCACCGCGTGCAAATCAATGCTAAATATTCGTAAGGAGGATTTAATATTGTTCAAACAATTTGCAGCTAAAGACAATATATTTCCGGTGTACGTACAGCCCACAAACTCCCCGGTGGTGCTAGCAAAGTGACGGCTTATCAAGAAGAAATATTTAAACCCTTACACGATCCAGAGGGCCTCTGAAGGTGATTATAGAGGAATAAACAAAAGAAAGATAAAATAGAGTTTAAGCGAGATAACAAGGAAAGAAAACAGACCATCAAAATAATACACCAACAAACACACGTACAGCATCAACGACACACAACAAACACCCAACCTAAGAAATACAGACAACTCTAGAGCAATTGAAATGCAGCAGCAGCAGCAAATGCAACAGCAGCAGCAAATGCAACAGCAGCAGCAAATGCAGCAACAGTAAATGCAGCAGTTGTGTTTTCTCTAATTGTTTATATTTTGTTTGTTTTTGTCTGAATAATAAATGAATTTCTTACAAAAAACAAATAAAGAAAATTCTCTTCGTGGAATTCAATGAAGAGATAGCCACCCAACTTGTGTTAATAATGCAATTTAAATTTATTCGATTCTTTTCTGTTTATCTTTGATTAAAAAATTGAGTTCAATTGTCTTTGCCGTTTAATTCATAGTTTTATTTCTGTTTATTTTCAGTTAATTAGAGCATTCGCCTTCCTATTTTCATTTGTTAGCGTTTTAATTAAATGCTGCATATATATGTAAAGATATACATATATGCGCATATATACATGTATATATATATGCTTATATATATATATAGCTGTTATATCTATATATATATATATTACTTATTTATTTTCACTTGAATTTAATGGTATGTAGATATATGCATACATATATTTATTTTCGCTTTAATGTTTTATATATATATATATATATACATATGCATATATATATATATATATTGACTTGAACTTAACGTATTATATAAATAGATATAAAAATAGATATAAATATATATATAAATATATAAATATATATATTTATTTAAATTTAAATAAAATATTTTAAGATTGTTGGTTGGTTGTCGCGCTGTCTTGAAGTTGTTTGCCTAGCGTACTGTGCACTGCGGTATACTGCACACAAAAGA